TTCGGATTCAGCAAAGTAGCTACCTGTCAACGATATGGTTACCGTACAATTCGATCCTTTCATCATCCGTTATCTCAACGAGACGAAGGCATATAAATAGTGTCAACCTTCTGTTACTCTCGATATTATGTATTCAGTTTCTAGACCAATGACCTGTATTATAATCTGGATAGAGCAACAACTCAATCCCACTGTGGCCACAGTTTTAGTGTCATTGCCATATACTGAATTGTGCCATGAGATAACTTCTCCTGTACCCGGGAGTGATGAATCCTTTGTCAATCCACCATAGTCTTGATACACTCCTTGATGCGGCCAATCACTACCATATTGACAGCTCTAAATAGAACTGCATTAAGCTAGTGTCAAACTACACCAATCGGTGCACAAGGTGCTCTGGTGATCTCAAGTCTAAGGATCACATGCACCACCATTCGTTAGAGGATTTGTTCCATAAACACTGGGGTTACCATCCATATGGAATCCTCTAGTGGGTCTGTCCAGTAAACTTGCTGCGGTGTATTCACCTACAGCAAGCACCCATGTGTTGCACTAAGTTGTCACCAAACAACCTTGACAAGTGAGATCATTCACTACCTTTCGACAGGGTCGTTCAACACTATGATAGCCTTACCGTATTATCTGTGCCCTTACTTCATAATAATACTGGGGCTACGGACGTTTCTAGAATGGCCATCATACGTGCTCATAGGGTTCTCACTATCAAGATTTGAAACACTTGATACCTTTGTCACAGTTCTACCATTCTAAGGACATATATCAATACATATTGCAATAATAATGATTTACGAGATATAGAATAAAATGATTTTTATTGATTAATGATCATTATTACAAAGAGTCAATTCTGCAATAATTGATTGGCTCTAGGGCATCTACTCTAACAATCTCCCACTTGCACTATAGCCAATCATTCATGTATTTAATACCAAATGATCTCAAGTGCCTTTCATGCCTTTGCTGCGACAGAGGCTTTGTCAGTGGATCTGCGAGATTGTCGTCAGTATGCACTTTACTAATCTGCACGTCTTTCCTCTCAACTATCTCTCTGAGGAGATGGAATTATCTGAGTATGTGTCTGGACTTCTGATGAGACCGTGGTTCCCTGGTTTGAGCAATTGCTCCATTGTTGTCACAATAGATGTCTATAGGATCAACAATCGTGGGAACCACACCAAGTTCAGTATTGAACTTCTTAATCAAAACTACCTCTTTGGCCGCATCTGAAAATGCAATATACTTAGCCTCTATTGTAGAATTCATTACAGTGCTTTGCTTGGAGCTCTTCTAGCTCACTGCACCACCATTGAGACAAAATACAAACCCTGATTGTGATCGATAATCATCTTTGTTTGTTTGGAAACTAGCATTACTGTATCCTCTTACAGTGAGCTCATCTTCCACTCCATAAACCAAGAACATATCTTTAGTCCTCTTCAGGTACTTAAGAATTTTCTTGACAGCCATCCAGTGACGCTTACCTGGATCTGATTGATATCTACTTCAAGTGCTCAAAGCACATGAGACGTCAATCTGAGTACATAACATGGCATACTGATGCATGCAAATGCAATACCTAATTTTACCACACTAAATTCTAATGCAAAGTCGTGTAGTAGCAAATAGCAAGTAAGGGTCTTTCCCGCAGAGGATTTGTGAACTCAATTAATTATCTACTTCAAACAGGGTTTGTCACGAATTATAAAAACTCAACAAAAACTATCAAGCTAAAATTAAACAAAGTAAAACAAGGAAACAATCACAAAAGAGATAAATAAGAGAAACTAGACTGAAGGTTTATTCGCCACCACTAGACGTGAATTACATATAATAAAAGCACTCTTTAACTTTCTACCCTCTTAATCACATCAGCTCAGAAAATACCAAACGTTGATAAGTTCTATCTCTCCTTACTGAGTCGTTGGATTAGACACGATCATAACCCGATTCCCTATTTATTAGATAACCTAGGATACGATCTCTAGATTGAAAGTAATAAAAGCATTAAGTTGTGAGAGACCTACTGAATCAAGGCTAAACTCATATGGTCGGTTTAGTTATCTTGAGTGATTACCCCCCATGTATGCAGGCATACACTTTACCACTAGTTATTTAGGTTAATAAAGCGATTCCGTACTAAACAACCTAAATTGGCATTAATAAATTAATCCTAACTATTTAATTGCGCACTTAAACAATTAAGACAATCTATCTAAACCCTATTCACAGAGAAATAATCACATAACCAAGAGGGATCAAAAGATAAATAGATGCAAATTTTATTAATCACAAGACATGTCTAGGGTTTTGAAATCACCCTCAATCACAAAAGAATTAGTTCTTCATGAATAAATATGAGAACATCATTGTATTATTCATAACAAATAATAATAACAAAGAAGAAGAAAAACTTAGTGAAACTTGGTTGGATTAATGAAGTTGATGATGATCTCCTCCAATTCTTCTTCTCCAAGCCTTCTTTAATCTCCCTTTTTCTTCAGTTCTTGAATATTTTTGTTCTCTCTTTTTTTATCTCTAAAAGAATTCCCCTAAAATAATGCTAAAAGACTTCTATTTATATCCCACAAGGGTTAGGGTTTTGTTTTCCTTAATTCTAGTTAGTTTAGGACTCTTAAAACCCTATTTTCCTAGTCAAAAATGGAGGAAAAGTTCCCAGCTGTCGTGACTGTGCCGTGGCACTGTGCTGCAGCACAGTAACTACTGCAAAAAGTGTGCCGCGGCACAGTAGCTACTGGTCTTCTTCCCGCATCATTCCACTATTCTTCAGAGATGGTGATTTTTGAACTCGATAACGATGAAATTTGGAAAAGTGGTAAACATATGAAATGTAGCCCTTTGAATCAGCTTTCCAACAGTCCAAGAATTGTCTTAATCCAAGTTCTACAGCTCAAGATATTCTTAAAATACCAAGGTATGCTCAAGCTGGAGCATAATCTAGGATCTTCTCTTTACTTCAACTTCCATAACTTCTTCAATTCAACTCCAATTCTCGATCCGTTTGTTTCCAGTCATCACAAATTCTCTCACCAACATCATCTCTCATCCGAATATTATTTTTGAGCCTTATTTCCTGAAAACACAACAAAAATACCCGTGATCCCGAAAAGTGCGTTTATGAAACAATTAAGTTAATTCATGCGAATTAATCCTAATTTCCCACAAATGATACCTATAAACCACTAAGTATAAGTGTATTTTCAAGCACTTATCACAACCCCCAACCAGCTTCTTGCTAGTCCCTAGCAAGCTAAGCGATAAAAATATGTCTTCTAGCTTGAAAATTAAAATAAAATAAACATAAATCTAATCTACCCCAAATCACTTCCGTAGATTGTCACGGTTGCATTTAGCGTATGCAACAAGCCTTTAAACCCCTAGGTGGCCCTAGTTGGACGAGTTGTAGTCTCGTGAGGGTTTCCAGCGATGATACCCACAAACATCCATACTAAACCTAACCTAGACTCGAAAATTAAAAACAAACAAACAAAACATTAGTCTCCGGATATACATTCGTCTCAAAAATTGCATACAACACATAACATAAAGAATAGTTAAACATCACCCAAGCCCAAAGGTAACTCAAAAATCAATTTCATTTTCATTATCAACTCTCACACATCAATCATTCCACAAACCCGTTAATCTCAAAACCCGGATGATCACATGCACAAACTTCACAAACAAAGAATTGATCTCAAAATTTTAAAAATATAATATAATGTATAGAATCAAATTCCATAGGCTCACTTTTCAAACTACTCTCCACTAATGTAGAATGATCACACTACCTCGGATCAATAGGTCTTTATTAAGCTTGTTACGTTAGGCTAGGTTATGAGGTTATGAAAGAACGGAAAAGATAAGCAAAAATAAGAGACTCAATCCTATTTCTTTCAAACACTTTCATTCAAGCACCACCATTCTTCTTTACACCCCACTTTTTCCACCCTTTATCAAAAATAATTTCATTGCATCATTTATACTTTGCAATGTTTCTCAATAAATTTCCTTTTTTCTTTCTTTCTTTCTTCTCCATTTTTCTTTTCTTCTTTTTTTCTCTTTTTTCTTTCAAATTTTTTTTTCATTCGGAAGAAAGAAAAGAAAGCTAAAAATGCTACCCCAACTCTTGATTAAAAAACACTCCACAACCCCCAACCTATTCTTTTGAGCACATTTGGAATAAATTGACAATTTTCACAAACCTTCACCCTCACTTATTTAATTGCTCTCACCAATCTTGTACTTAGATTAAGTCTCTTAAAAATTAAAGGGTAGGAATGTGTTTTTGGCTCAAAATAATGGTAGGTTAATGTAGGTTACATGAAAGAAAATCAAGGCTAAATGTGTTTAATAATGGCTCAAAGGGGTAACTAGCGATAATTTAAATAAAGGGTTGGCTTGAAAGGCTCAAACGATCCAAAGATAGCCTAAATCATATCCTAAGTAATGTGCATTCTAGGATTTCGCCTCAAGTAGTTATCAAGTGAGTTCTAGAATTTGTTGAGATCGCAAAAATGTCTATGAAAATTCATACATAACAAACATCACTAAGCCTTAAGACTAACCAACCAAATCATACCACATAGCATGAGAGTCTCAAACTAGATGAAACTAATTATTCAAAATTACCCCTAAACCTAAGCAACATTTAACATCTTCTAAACATCACATGTTATCACAATTATAATCATATCATTGACACATAAATTAATCCGAAAAACTAAAAAAATATTAACCCTAAAAACATGCAAACACACAAATGTAAACACATACTTAGACATACCAAAGAATTAATATTTCTATGTCCCACCCCCAACCTAAACTGGGCAATGTCCTCATCGCTCTATTAATCGGTATTAAACAAAAATCATTAGGAAAAACGAAAACTAACACAACTCAATCGGTTGCCTCCCATGTAGCGCTTTGTTTAACGTCGTTAGCTTGACATTGTTCTTTGCTTAACCATCCATGTTCGTTGGTTCATGGAGAGGTACTTCATCCAAGTGTTCCATGAATGGCTCGTAGTATGGCTTTAGATGATGGCCATTGACCTTGAAGTCTTTCCCTGTATTCGTGCTCTTAATTTCCACTGCACCATTGGGAAAAACATTAGTAATCACAAAAGGATCAACCCAACGGGAACGTAACTTACCAGGAAAAAGTTTAAGACGTGAATAGAATAGAAGAACTTTTTGTCCAGCTTCAAAATGCTTTCGCTGGATCATTCTATCATGGAAGGCCTTTGTTTTGTCTTTGTAAATGAGTGAACTTTCATAAGCTTCATTCTGTATCTCCTCAAGTTCATTCAATTGCAATTTTCGTTGTTCTCCCGCTGCGTCTAGTTTCATATTGCATTGCTTAATTGCCCAATAGGCTCTATGCTCTAATTCAACGGGAAGGTGACATGGTTTACCATAAACCATTCGGAATGGGGACATTCCAATTGGTGTCTTATATGCTGTCCTATACGCCCATAATGCATCGCCAAGCCGCAAGCTCCAATCTTTCCTATTTGGATTCATGATCTTCTCTAAGATGGACTTGATTTCCCAATTAAAGACTTCGGCTTATCCACTCGTTTGTGGGTGGTATGGCATAGAGATCTTGTGGGTGACGTATTTCTTCAAGGTAGCCCAAAATGTACGGTTGCAAAAATGAGTGCCCTGTCACTAATGATGGCTCTAGGTGTTCCAAACCTTGCAAAAATGTTAGATTTTACAAAATCTACAACAACTTTAGAATCATTTGTCCGGTTGGCCTACCCATTTAGACAAATAATCAACAACAAGTAAGATATAAAAGTAACCATAAGAAGACGGAAAGGGTCCCATGAAATCATTACCCCATACATCAAAAATCTCAACAAATAAAATTGGATTTTGGGGCATTTGATTTCTTGGGCCTAAATTACCTGAGCGTTGACATCTATCACATGTTTTGCAAAACCAATATGCGTCTTTAAAGAGTGTAAGCCAATAGAATCCACTCTCAAGAATCTTAAGAGCTGTCTTCTTTGCTCCGAAGTGTCCTCCACATGCATAAGAATGGCAAAAAGTTAAAATTGAATTAAATTCACTTTAGGAAATGCACCTTCTTATGATTTGGTCAAGGCAATATTCCCAAAGATATGGATCATCCCACATGTATTGCTTGGCGATCTTCTTCAGTTTGTCCTTGCTAGCGCACGACATGTTGTGTGGGATTCTCTTAGTCACTATGTAATTTACTATATCTGCATACCATGGTCCCGAGGATGTCATCGCAAGTAATTGTTCATCCAAAAAATCATCTTTCAATGGAAGAGCATCTTCTTGATTTATCAACCTACTTAAATGGTCTGCTATAACATTCTCACTCCCTCTTTTGTCTTTGATTGTTAGGTTAAACTCTTGTAGCAATAGAATCCACCTTATAAGCCTTGGTTTAACCTCCTTCTTCATAAGCAAATACCTAAGAGCTGCATGGTCAGAAAAAACAGTAACTTTAGTGCCAATTAGATAGGAACGAAACTTTTCTAATGCAAAAATAGCCGTAAAAAGTTCTTTCTCTGTTGTGGAGTAGTTAAGTTGAGCATCATTCAATGTTCTTGAAGCATAATAAATGCCATGTGGTAATTTTCCAACTCGTTGTCCTAACACGGCTCCAATGGCATAATCGCTTGCGTCGCACATCAACTCGAATGGAAGACTCCAATTGGGTGGCTGAATAATTGGGGCTGTGGTTAGGAGTTCTTTTAGTTTCTCAAACGCCTTTATACACTTTTCATTAAACTCAAACGCTGCCTCTTTTTGTAACAAACAGCATAAGGGCCTTGCGATCTTGGAGAAATCCTCGATAAATCTCCTATAAAATCCTACATGTCCAAGAAAAGAACATACCTCTCTCACACAAGTGAGAGGTGGTAAGGAACGTACAAGATCTATTTTAGCTTTATCAACATCAATCCCCCTAGATGAGATAATATGCCCTAAAACTATCCCTTGATTTGCCATGAAATGGCATTTTTCCCCATTTAAAACGAGATTAGTTTCTATGCATCTTTTAAGAACTAATGTCAAATTACCCAAACAATTATCAAATGAGTTCCCATAGACACTAAAATCATCCATAAATACCTCTATAATGTTCTCTATGTAATCGGAGAAAATACTTACTATGCACCTTTGAAAGGTGGTGGGTGCATTACAAAGGCCAAATGGCATGCGTCGATAAGCAAAAGTGCCAAAGGGGCATGTAAATGTCGTCTTCTCTTGATCTTCCGGTGCAATCACAATTTGATTATAACCTAAAAATCCATCAAGAAAACAATAGTGAGAATGGCCTACTAAACATTCAAGCATTTGATCGATAAATGGAAGAGGAAAATGATCTTTGCGCTTTGTGGCATTAAGCTTGCGGTAGTCTATGCACACTCGATATCCTGTTTGAATGCGAGTGGGAACTAAGTCATTATCTTCATTCTTTACCATGGTTATTCCGGATTTCTTAGGAACTACTTGGACTAGACTAACCCATTTACTGTTCGAAATTGGGTAGATCACACCAACATCTAACAACTTGATTATTTCCTTCTTCACTACTTCCATCATTGGTGGATTCAACCGTCTTTGTACTTCTCTTGTAGGCTTCGATCCTTCATCTAGTAATATGCGGTGCATGCACATGGAAGGACTTATTCCTTTAATGTCAGCAATCATCCAACCAATTGCCGTTTTGTACTCTCTTAACACACGAACAAGTTTCTCTTCTTGCACCTTTGAAAGGTTGGCCGCTACAATCACGGGCAATGTGTCTCCTTCTCCCACGTATAAATACTTGAGATGACTTGTTAAAGGCTTAAGCTCCAAGGTAGGGGCCTACACAATTGAAGGTAAAAGTTTCTCATTAGATATGGGAAGAGAAATATAGGAGATTTCAGACCTTGGATTTTTCTTTGGAAGCTCATCCAACATTGCTATAGTTTCATTTAGCTCTTCTCGCAACTCTACATCTTCATTGAAACTTTGAGGTTCCTCGGTTGACAACCCATTCCATATTGCCACTTCCAATGGATCTTTACTATAATGCCCGCTTGAGGTACGTAACTCATATTTGCTCATTTTGCCCTTAAAGTTGTTTATGTGCCTTAGTTAAGCGTGTAAGTGTTGAAATTGCTTGACTGCCCTGAAATTGGTGAAGTCTTGTTGAAATTTGTGAAAGCAAGACTTTGCCGCGGCGAATAAGACTCGTCGCCGCGGTGACGTAGGCCCTGGAATTTTTCACCGCGGCGAAGATTCGGTTGAAAATTCTTATGAGTTTCTAGAGAATTCTTCCTTTGGGGCACAACAACCATTCTACCCCTAATTATGAGGAAAAGTGGGGAGTGAAATGCAAGGAAATTATGGAATTAGATCAGAATGCCGATCGATCTCAAATTGTTCGCGAGCTCATTCATTAAAAACACCTAGAACTCAAAACAAGAACAATAAGAATTCAAAATAAACAAAAGTAAACATAATTAAGTAATGAAAATCCCCGGCGACACGGCGCCAAAAATTGATGCTGCAAATGCAACACCTAATTTTACCTCCTAAATTCTAATGCAAAGTCGGTAGTAGCAAAGAGCAAGTAAAGGTCTTTCCCGCAGAGGATTTTGAACTTAATTATTATCTACTTCTAACGGGTTTTCACGAATTATAAAATCTCAACAAATACTAAAATGAACTCAAGCAAACAATGTAAATCAAGCAATTAATGATGATAAGAAATAATAAGAAAAATTGGATTGAAGGTTTATTCGCCACCACTAGACATGAATTACATAAAATAAGCTCTCTTTACTTTCTAGCCTCTTAATCACATCAGCTCAGAAATACCAAATGTTGATAAGTTCTATCTCTCCTTACTGAGTCATTGGATTGGACACGGTCATAACCAATTCCCTATTTATTATAAACCTAGGATCGATCTCTAGATTCAAAGTAATAAAAGCATTAAGTTGCGAGAGACTACTGAATCAAGGCTAAACTCGTATGGTCGTTTAGTTATCTTGAGTGATTACCCCCCATGTATCAGGCATACACTTTACCACTAGTTATTTAGGTTAATAAAGCGATTATACTAAACAACCTAAATTGGCATTAATAGATTAATCGTAATGATTTACTTGGCCACTTAAACATAAGACAATCTATCTAACCTTATTCACGAGAAATAATCACATAACCAAGAGGGATCAAAAGTAAAAGATGCAGATTTTATTGAATTGAAATCACCCTCAATCACAAAAGAATTGTTCTTCATGAATAAATATGAGAACATCATTGTATTATTCATAACAAATATAATAACAAAGAAGAAGAAAAACTTAGTGAAACATGGTTGGATTAATGAAGTTGATGATGATCTCCTCCTAATTCTCTCTCCAAGCCTTCTTTAATCTCCCTTTTTCTTTAGTTCTTCAATAATCTTTGTTCTCTCTTTCTTTCTCTAAAAGAATTCCCCCTTAAATAATGCTAAAAGACTTCTATTATATCCCACAAGGGTGTGGTTTGTTTTCCTTATCTTAGTTAGTTTAGGACTCTTAAAACCCTATTTTCCTAGTCAAAAATGGAGGAAGTTCCCAGCTATCGTGCTATGTTGTGGCACTGTGCTATAGCACAGTAGCTACTAGAAAGTGTTGCCGTGGCACAGTAGCTACAGTCTTCTTCCCACATCATTCCACTGTTCTTCAGAGATGGTGATTTTGGACTCGACACGATAGAATTGGAAAAGTGGTAAACAATGAAATGTAGCCCTTTGATCAGCTTTCCAACGATTTAAGAATAGTCTAATCCAAGCTCCAAATCTCAAGATATTCTCAAAATACCGAGGCTACTCAAGCTGGAACGTAATCTAGAATCTTCTCTTTACTTCAACTTCCATAACTTCTTCAATTCACTCTGATTCTCAATCCGTTTGTTTCCAGTCATCACAATTTCTCTCGTGAACATCATCTCTCATCCGAATATTATTTTGAGCCTTATTCCCTGAAAACCCAAACAAAATACCCGTGATCCTGAAAAGTGCGTTTAGAACAATTAAGTTAATTCATGCAATTAATCCTATTTCCAACAAATGATACCTATAAACCACTAAGAAAAGTGTATTTTCAAGCACTTACATCTCGAATTACAAAATACAATGTGTGATAGTTGAATTCACTCTGATCATGTCTTGTAAAGGATAAGTGGACTAAAGAGATACTGCTTCAAGGAACCTTACAAGATGGCTTATACCAGCTGCAAGTTTCCTTGCCAACTGTTGCCTCCACTCTAACTCTATGCATCCTGCCATGTTTTGCTATCTCCAGCTCTATTCCTAGTAGCAATAGTTTTAATAAAACTTTTGTTTCTCAAGACAAACAATCTGATGTAACTCTTAGTTTGACAAAATTGTGGCATGCTAGATAGGGCATCCACAAGTGAAAACTCTTAAGACTGTGATAATAAAGTTCATGTAACTAGTTCATTTGATATAGCATCTTTGTGATTGTTGCCAATTT